GAAGTGATTGTTGACAAAATGAATCAAACCCATATTTATTTCTACGTTTATCAAATTCGTGATTTTAATTGGTCAATTAACAAATGGCATGGGTTAAAATTTTGTGTTCCCTCCTGTTAATTTTTGTGTTCCCAGAACGGTCCCACCTGTTAGTACCATATCATTATCAGCAGATGTTTTAAAATTTTCAATTTTTTAATTCATTGCAATTTAACTTCCTTGGTACTGATAATGCTAGGACATTTTTTGGCTCTTGTAACAAATAAACCATTCAGAAACGTTAATATATGACTCTTTTAAGTGTCAAAAGGCTTCAAGTATATATATCATTAATAGCTTTTTCGAAACATCAAGATTAGGAAACATTAATATAATACATCTTGTTTACATTGCACATGACTATTGCCTATCGTTGTCATTGTTTTAGATTTTCGTAATGTTAAAACGAAAAAATAATTCCCATTACTACTACCATTACCTGATTAATTATAAAGGAACCAAAACTGAAAATAACAATGCACAAATTTCCAGATCCTCTTAACATGAAAAATTTACCTGTCGCAACTAAAAGGGCATTCAAAAATTATTTAAAATTGTTTGCGGTGTAACTTTGGATTTTAAGGATGAATATTTTGAAAACAAAATCAAGTTGGTTAAAAAGTGTAGACCGGAATTTTAATTTGACAATTTGGCCAAATTCGGTAAAGATATAATAGTCTTTTCAGCAACGAAGCTGTTTCTGACAAAGATATATTGGATTATTTGAATAGACTTTTAAAATATGCTATAACTAATAAAATTGCAATAGAAAAAAACCAACTTCAAAATTAGAGCTCCCAAGGATGACATGACAATGATTCATAATGAATTAAGAGAATTTGATTTTGGAAATATGAAAAATATTGACCCTACAACATGCGACAACTTAAAAGATGCTGAATCTAAAAAACAAACTTTTGTCAAAAACCACTTTTATTCTAGGTGGAATATTCTCAACAGTCATCTTATCTGTAACAGGGGTAGCAACGGGAGCGAGGACAGCAGCAACAACAGGAGTAGCAGCAGTAGTAGAGAAAACTGCTGCTGAAAATAAAGAAAAAGAAGCTGCCATATTATGGGAAACTTTAAATATGAGACAGAGACAAGTGATTGATAAATCAAGCAATTTACTAAATAATGTTACCTCGATAATTCCAAATTTAAATGATCTTGAAGGTTTCTGGGAGACTCAGATTGGTCAATTAGAAAATCTTATTGAGCAATTTAAAAATTTAAATGGGCATAGGCCTCGTCCTAGTAAATTATTTATTAAACGCTTTGAAATAAAATAGAAGGAAACAATCAGACATTACAAAAAACGAGTTAGATAATGATGTTTAAATTTGAATCAAAATAATTAATTAGAGTTACTGAGTGGAGTCACTTTTAAAAATATTATTTCTTTCTCTTGCCACTTTTGATTTATGTGATATATTTTTAGGATTTTAAATACTCGAATAAATATTATATTTTTCGTTGTCATATAAACAAAGTATTGTTGTATTTTTTTAATCCTGACCATTTAAGAAAGAAAATAAAATTGGACGAATACTTTTTATGTTAAAGTGGGAAGTTATAAATAGTTTAATATTTGACAAGATTAAAATAATTTTACACAATGAAATGACCATTAGCATTTTTGTTTTGAAACGCTAAATCTACATGATAAATTATATTTCATATGAATATAAACATACTGGTTTCAATTATTGTCACAGATTTTTAACAAGTTTGACTATAATGGAAATGCTGAAATTGATACCCACATTTTGTAAAAGATAAGCTATTTACAAATTTGTATCCAAGTAAAATATTTATAATAAATTAATTTAAAGCTTTGGTATCCAATTTCTGCAAACATATCGTCACTTGATATGTTTATGTTATTATACTTATATCTTATTGTTTGAGAAAATTATTACACTAATACTAATACTATGTTAATATTATTATTGTCTGACCAATTACGATTTTTGTGTTTTAGCATTCAAAATGGAAAATTTCTATGCGGAAGAGTATCAATATCATCAATATGATGATGACAACAATAGTAGTGGTGTTGTTGATGATAATTTTACATGTGAATGAATAAACACTTCCAATACAAGGTCCAATGGTTCATTGGCTTCAAGTTCCAATGGTTTAAGCGGTGGTTCCAGAAGACTTTTAAAAAAACGAATCGTAACACATGGTTTTGTGTGGAAGTATTTTGAAAAAGTGTAAGATTCAAATAGAAATGAATTCGTAATTTGCAAATTATAGTCGACTAAAATAATCGAAAATAGTCAACTAAAATAGTCAACTAAAGTCGACTAAAGAAATTTTTGACCAACTAGTACAGTTGACTTTCGATATAGTGAAGGGTTGGTTTTTAGCAAAAAAACTTCACTATACATTATATAGAGAGTTTA